CCTGCACTGATCAGTTTGCCAGTGGCTGGAGCCAACCAATCCGTCTGTCCACTCCGGTTTGACGGTCTGTTGCCAGCACGAGACTCGACGAGCCTGGAGCCCGGGGTGCTGAGTCAGTCGATCATCTGCCTGCTACCCTCTCAAAGTTACACGGATGCAGGCGGTCTTCCCGGACAGATGCTTCTACCTCCGATCTCGCTACTCTCGAGGACCGAGGGAGGCGGCGCAGCCGATCGAGACGGCAAATACTGATCGCCTGCTCACTTGCCTCTGCAATTATGGTGAGCAGGTCCTTCCGGTTTAGACTGGCGCTGTCTTGTTCTCCTCCTTCTACTGCCACTACTATTACTATTTTACTACTTCGAATTCAGCTACAAATACCACTGTTACTATAACTAATCATAATACAACCACCACCATTACTTCTTATTCTACTACTACTCTTGCTAGTGCTAGTGCTACTGCCTCTACCACTGCTACTGTTACTACTAGTACTTCCACTACCACCACTATTATGCGTAATTCCCCAATGTGCAACCCCGATTACCGCTGTTACTACTAATAACATTCCTGCAACCACCACTACTACTGCTTCTACTCGCCACCTTTCTATGCCTTTTACTACTCATACTACGACTATCGTTTCTACTATAACTTCTGCTAATACTACTCATATTACTACTGCTCGCAGTAGTACCTCTAGCTCTACTACCTTTACATTTTACTGCTATTTGTACCATTACCATTACTTCTACTTTTTTTTTCCTCTTATTCTACTACCGTCACTACTACTACAGCCTTACCACTGCCACCATTCTCACTCGGTTACGTCCTTTTCTTCGCCCCTTTCGAAAATATGCTCGCAGCTACCTCAGCCTATCCAGATCAGACCCTCTTGTGTGTGTTCAGGCTAAGTCTCGACCGTATAGTACCGCGAACTCGCGCATCTTCTAGCCCCATCCAACGAGCTTCAGAAGTCCACAACGGCCTGCACGCCGAGCGGAGATCCGGGAGCATGGTCTCACAAATGCCCCATCCATGCGACCCCGAAACAGAACTCTTGCTCACTCCTCATCTTGCTTATGTCCCCTTGCGGAGTCTGGAGTTTTGTTTTTGGTCATATCTCAGTTGCTTCGCTATTTGAACGCAAGCCTACACGTCGCCCTAAGTGACTTGTTCGAGTCCACTTGAGCACTCTCTTTGCCAATCGGTGTGCACTCCATCTAGCAGACGCAAATACAAACTTATTCTTTGTGTACCTGTGGTCCGAACTTTCTGCATTTACTTTTTTTTCATTTCAATCCAACTTAGGGAACAGTTGAGGCCCTCGAACAGGCCCGCAGCATTCGCTTCATCTTGCCTGTTGCTCGCGAAACCAGGCGTCGTTCACACTCAAAATCGGGACGGTCCACTTGCCGTCTTGATTTCTGCGTCAATCCTAGTCTTTAGAAGCCCACAGTGCCCAGTCGCCCGATCCGCTTGGCCGTCATGGGATTCGTCGATGCTGGCCGCGTGAATCTCCATCCGCACATCTGCAATCCTTGCCTGGCGTCATGGCAACCATACGGCTTGGACGCCCCCGATCAGCTGGGAAGATTGAGGATGTCCCCCTGTAGAAGCGCCAGTGGCGGCAAGCGATGCATTTGCGTTGACGTTGCAGTGTCTACGTGAGATTTGCTCGAAATGCTGGTGCACAAACGGGCATTTTCGCCGAGAAGTCCGAGTGTCGACCAGAGTCAATGGGCCTGATGGCAGACATTCATTTCGGCAGGACGTGTAAATATCAAGTAGTTGGGCGGAGCTCTTGGAGCAAACAGTCCATTTTGCTACTTTCCCCTAAACTTTTATACTCCCACATTTGCTTTCGTGTGTGGTTTGTTTCGACGATACACACGCCTATACATGCATGCATGTGAATGCGTGCATGTTCGATTACACGACAGGCCATGCATACATATCTGCTCGAGTGCACTCTCCCGTATATGATTCACATGCAGGCATATCGCGCTCTTTCTCAGATTTACCACTTACTTATTTTAGCGTGCTTCTCGCCGGGACTCAAATGCACTCCACAAGCGCCAAAACAGCCGTTATTTTTGTCAACCAGTCACCAAGCCCGACAAGCCCAGGAGCACATTCTCCGAACCCTCTCTGCGTATCGCCTTCACATCCGCACATCCGCACATCTACGCCCACACTCACACCCATCTCCACATCCTGATGCCCCTCGATCCGCCACGGCACTCCAACAGGCCCACGGTAGACATCACATGCTTTTGCCGCACATTCTCCCAGCAGATGATCTTTCGTTTCATTCAGCAAGCTTTAGTGTCTTTCGCTGTGAAGCTGCTGGTATATCACCAACTAGACAGTAATAGAACCAATATCACACAGCCGAAAGAGCTGACAGAATCTCGGCAGTTTTGGTTTTTTTCACTTTGGGCCTGGAGTTTGTGGCTCCCAGCTCCACAAAGAGGGACGCTCTTCAGCAAGTCAAATGTAGGTCTGTTGGGATTACTTCCATTTCGAGTAGAAGTGTTGGGTGAAGAGATTCGAAGGTCGGTTCCACCAGA